AAAACATCATCATCATCATCAGATTTTAGACCCACATTCAGAACTCAATCTCATTTCCAACAGTTTCATACACTATTCTCTTCAATGACTAAAAGTCTAAAAATACTTCAAACCTGAAACAAGAAATGTTTTGAATTATACTTATTATTATATAAGGAAAAAGAAATTCCACATTGTTATAAGAGTCGAGTCGGGTCAAGCTGAAAGAGTTTTCTTCGAAATGAAATCAAAGGATATTCCGTTCTCTTGAAGCCCCTTTTCCAGATCCGTGGCCCCAAACACAATCCCAGGTGTAAAAACCCCTCCTTTAGGCAGATTCTCACGCTCATTCAACAAAACGAGCGCGCACTGAACAAGAATTATAGGAGTAGTTATATATCCAATCTCGGGCCCCATTACCCTTGTAATAATTTCAGTATCGGGTTTTTTGTTATCCGATTTTGTTGCAAGGCTACTGTCAGAAAACCCTTTCCCAACAAACCACATCTTAAACATGGCACTTTCGACTTCTTCCTCAGAAGGCCCTTCTTTCCTAAACCACCCCAGGCTGAAAAATGATGGGAATTTCAAAAGAAGCCATCTCCCGATCGCAAATTTGCTTAAAATCCCCAGGAATATCCCGAGCATGATAGTTGGAAAGAAACCGAGCAATGATTTCGAGGCCAATTTCACGCCAAAATGGGCTGGCTTGACAGATGACCAAAAGGCCTCCCTTTTTTTTCGGCTATCATCAGTTTCGTGAACACCAGGTAAACCGTGTGGGTTTTCTGTAAGAGTGGATAAAGATCTTCGCACGACTATGGAATCTGCTGATGGTAGCCTAAGACCCCAAAGGCCGAGTTCCTTATGGTGATCTATCATGGAGCCTTTTCCAGGTGGGGGGCCCGGAATCTGAAAATAAATATGAGAATTTGAGTTTAAGACAAGTCGAAATGCATCTATGAATGCTTGTTGATACCAAAAACTGAATTATATGTTTATTCCTGTCAACTAATTCTAAGATAACAACTTATATATATCCCAATATCGATAGCTCGAAACGATCACCAAAATGCTATTAGTTTTCGTTTTTTCCAACAAATATACTCTCTATGTAGAAAAAATCACGACAAGTACTAAACAGTTGGAAATTATTAATGCTGATCTAACAGAATAGATAAAGAAATCCATTTTTTTTTTTTTTACACAGAAGAAGAGAGGAAAACCATACCAAGTTGAAGTGCATCCAAAACGAAAACAAATATAGCTAAGCATGCAACCATGAAGACAGACAACATACAGTGCATATCCATTTCATGATTCGGATTACGAATGCGAAGAGACCATCATCACAACACATCACAATATGAATGCTACTTGATACCAAAAATTGAACTATATGTTTAATCCGGCCGACTAATTCCAAGTGGATAACTTATATCCCAATATCGAAAAGATCACCACAATGTTAAATTGTTATCCATTTTCGTTTTTCCAACCAACAGATGCTCTTTTTCCCAATACAGAAATCACAACAGGTTCTAAGTTCGAACCAGCTGAAAACTAAAAATGCAGATCTAACAGAATAGAGAAAGAAACCAAACAAAAATCCAATCTTTTTAACACACAAGAAGAGACGAAACCATTACCACAGGCCGGGCCCTTTTGGGCCGAGACTTTCTAAATTCAACCAGTTTATCCGCATTAGCAACCCCAAGAACCGCCGACTCATAAGTTCCAAAATTTCCCACAAGTTTCTTATCCGACTCCAAGCTCAAATACGCCTCCACCCGGTTCGGCACGGAAGACCCGGTCCAGTGCCTGGTATGAAACAGCAGCCCGATCTCGGCCGGCACAGAGTCAAACCCACACGCCGATACGACCAACGAGCCCTTCTCCGTCGCCTTCTCATGGTACGAAGCCTCCATCCTCTCCATAAACTCGGGCTCTCCACAGATGTCAAGGTAATCGCAGCCCGATTCGACACAGGCCGCGACTACAGGCTCGCCGTAGAGCCGGAACGGGCCGACGCAGTTCAGTACGATCCTCGCCTGGGCTGCGATGCGGACGAGCGAGCTCGGGTCCGAGGTGTCGGCAGTGAGGAGAGGGATCTTGGGAGGTGAGTTCGGACCGGCGGCCCACTTGAGAGCATCGGATAGCCGCGACGGGCTGCGGCCCGCCAGGGCTAGGGATTTGAGGGACGAGTTGGGGGCACCGAGGAATTTGAGGGCTTCACGGAGAACGTACTTTCCGGTGAAGCCGGAGGCGCCGAAGATGATGACGTCGTAGGGTTTGGAGGTGGAGATGGTTTCCGCCATTGTTGTTGACAAGATCGAGGAGGAGAGTGGAGAGGTGTGAATTATTTATTTATTGTGATGAGATTTTGTGTGTTTAAAAAGCGTGATTCTCAGTGTGCGTTAAGTTGCTAGTAGCCTAGAAATGGGCGCATAAGTGTTGCGTGGTCGACTAGCCAACTAGATCATTGAGCATTGGAACTTAGTAGTTAGGTCTATATTGTTTAGTTTGTTGTTACCATCAAATCGGTTCTATGGTGTAGTGGTTAGCACTCTGGACTTTGAATCCAGCGACCTGGGTTCGACTCCCGGTAGGACCTTATATTTTTTAATGTAGTTTTGCTTGTTTTTTAACCTTACAATTCACTACTATTTTTATTATTATTATTTTACACGACTTTCATACAAAAACCCAACTTAGTTGTTTTAAATCTACAAATCTTAAAACAGAAACAAATGTGAAGAGGGTTTTTGTAATTTCCTTTTATTAAGTCGTCCTCCGGTAGTTTTGTTATTTATCCTTGTTTATCCGACTAGATAATATATTAAATCACCATTTTTTCAACTTAATTTGACAAAGATTTTCTAAAGTTGCTAAATATCACTATCCTCTTATATGTGGGGATTGGAACACCAAAATCGTCTTCCGTCGTAGGACTTTAGGCCTTGCATTGTCGACTTAAGAAAATGTTTATAATAATAATAAAAGAAAATTCATCTATTTATCGAAATAATTTACTCCGTTTTTCCTCCAAAGAACGTTAAACCGCACAAGGATGACTGAATAACAAGCCTGCAATACAATTATTAACCAGATAAATACACTTAAAATTAAATTCTATATACACAAAAAATTTGAGTACAAAGCCACATCACCAAACTTTCCTCGGGCGCACGAGGCCCATAATCTCCTCCCAATGCCCAACACTCTCCTCCCCAGTCAGCCCAATCACGCTCGGGCTACAGGCCGCCACGGTCCAATACCCAGCCCGTATCTCATCCATCAGCTGGCCCATATCCCACGCACAATAGCCGTCGTAAAATCTAAACTCGCCGGGCCCCACCACCCCCCTCTTCACCATCTCCGCCGCACAGCCCACGCTCTCCTTCGTCCCGTAGTACAATCCCTCCATCACCTCGTCAAAAACCCCCGCCAACGGGCCTCCCGGGCCCACCAAGAAAAGCCCGTCCTCAAGCGGGCCTCCGAAGAACAGCGGCCGGCCCAAAAAAGGGCCCGATAAGCCCACCTCGGCCGACCGCATCTCCTTGATGGACATGAGGGAGGGCCGGTTGAGTATGAGGCCCTTTGGGCCCACGGGCCCAGTCGAGAGGAGGAGAACGACGGTCCGCTCGAATATGTGGACACCGTCGAGCTTCTCGGTCGCGATCAAGAGGCACCCCTTCTCGGGCTCGTGGATGGCGTGGGCCCACCTGTCGGTTATTGGGCCGTGGGGATGGGCCTCGGGCTCGAGGGCCCGTTCCCCTGCAACTAGCTTCGCGCGGAATGTGCGCCAGTCGGAGGTGATAAACGGGCCCGACTCGTCTTGAGGTGATGAGTTTGATAGGCAACCTGTTGTTTCATGGGAGTTGAAGGAAGCACATAGTTCAAAACTCAGAGTAAATAGTTTTTAACCGTTGGATCAAACACACGTATCTACATCTACATAAATCTATGTAAGGCTAAAGGGCCTTTTTAATCATGGTGATTTAACGTTATAGCATTTTTAATCTCACGATTCTAACATTTCGTCTTTTGATCATGTGATTTAATATTTTGCTGCAATTTCAATCCTTGAGGACTGGAATTGCAAAAAAAATTCTAAAATATAGTAATTTTTTATTAGCAATTTAAGTCCTATAATTTAAAATTTTATTGCAATTTCAGTCTTATAACTTTAAATGTTGTTGTAATTTCAATTTTAGTTGAAATTGCAGAATTATATTAAATCACTAGATCAAAAGACAAAATGTTTGAATCTTGTGACTAACAATGCTACAACGTTAACTCACCATGACTAAAAATGCATTTTTGCCTATACATAATACGTGTATTTATTGATCTAACGGTGAAAACAATATCAAATATTACTAAAGCACAATCGACAATAAATTCATGTGAGATTGAAAAGAGCAAAGCATACATGAAATAGAAATCGAAGACCCGAATTTCCTTGAGATTTTTCCTCTAACTTTGGGAAGAACTTCAATGGCTTTTGAGAAGGAAGAGGTCGTGGAGAAAAGGCAAGCTTCCATGGTGTTTATAAAGTGTGTGATTACAAAGAAGTATGATATGTTAGTACTTGAGTAAGAAGAAAAAGGTGTGCTTTACATATATGCATGCCAAAGGATAAGATGAAAAACTGTACTTGTGGGCCGAGGATGAATTTAATCCACGAGTTGTTTCTTTAGAAGCTCAGCTCTTTTATAGATTACGTGGCAAACTTTGAGCCAGTTCAAGACTTGCTCTTTTTTCCCACTCTCAATGCCTATTGGGAGCTAAAAGTGAAAAGTGCATTAATCTTGGGTGGAGATACATGTGGATGAAAATACTCAAGTGTACCAAAAAATAAAAATAAAGAACTCATGACTCATGAGGCAAGAATTTCATGGCACCTTACTCGTGGCATTATGTGATTGGTGGTCTGTATTTTTTCCATGTTTGGTAGAGACTATGATTTTCTCCTCGATTTTTTATATCATTAAATTAACACACAGCTCAACTCTCCATTGATCAAACGATGAAAACCCCGGTAGAGCCGAGACCTCCCAAAAACTTCATTTCGTGCACATCATGATCAGCTGGCATTCCCCACCTACATATAGCTATATCCATATAAATGGTTAATAGAAAAAAAATATAAAATTAAATAATCAAGTTCATAGTTTTGCATAGTAAAAACTAATATCCATATCTACACTACACATTTAAATGCTTACATGTTTCCCTTGACTCAAAACTTCTTTTGCACTCACACACTTATAAACACTTCCAAAGCAGCATTTTACATGGCTCGTCGAGTTCGAGCATTGAAGAAAAAAGTTCGATCTGTGCTCGACAAGGTCCATGGTCGAGTTGACTCGACTCGTTTGTAGCCCAACTCCAAATTCAAATGCATACATGTTTCCCATGACTCAAAACTTCATTCGCAGTCACACACTAGTAAACACTTCCAAAGCATCATTTTACACGACTCGTCGAGCTTGAGCTCGAGCTCGAGCATTGAACAAAAAAGTTCGATCTGCGCTCGACAAAGTCCATGCTCGACTCCACTCGTTTGCAACCCAACTCCAAATTCAAATGCATACATGTTTACCGGACACCGCCACTAAATTCGCATCCAACAAAATATCATCTACACCACGAGCCGAGACAGAGCCAATCTTCCTAACATGCTCATTAAGCCCATCGACCGTCTCGTATATCCTCTCCGATATCCAGTGACTTCTATCCATAGCCTTAAACTTGTGAAATCTATCATCCAACTCTATCAAGCTAACCCCAGAGACCCTTTCCCTCATCGTCACTCTCACATTAGCAACACTCGACCAATCACCCACAGAAGCATACAAGCTCGACATCAAAAGATTATAGTTGTCATTATTTATTAACGGCTCGAATTTCACAATCCGGCCGAGCACCTCCTCGGCCAGCCTGGCTGCATTATGCATCCGGCAAGCCGCCAAAATCGAACTCCATATAACAACATTCGGCTCGAATGGCATCTCGTGTAATACCCTAAAAGCTTCATCTAAGCGGCCCCCACGGCCCAATAGGTCAATCAAGCAACCGTAATGTTCGATTCTGGGAGAAATTCTATATTCACTCTCCATTCTATAGAAATATCTGATTCCAGTCTCGATTAAGCCCGAGCGGCTACAGGCTGACAGGACAGCCACGAAAGTCACGTTGTCGGGCTCGAACCCTTGGATTCTCATTTCGTTGAAAAGCTGAAGGGCTTTAGGCCCATGACCGTGAATGGCTAGCCCGTGTATCATGGCATTCCAAGAAATCAAATCTTTTTTCTCGATTTGATTGAAAATCCTCCATGCTTGGTCCAAGCTCCCACATTTACAATACATGTCGACCAAGGCATTACTCACCACGGTACCACATTTGGGCCGATTCTTCATTATCGAGCGGTAGACTTTCTTCCCCAGGCCCAGCAAACCGGATTCTGCACTAGCGGACAAAATACTAATGCAAGCCCCATCATCGGGCCGGAAATTTTCCCTCTCCATTTGGCGATAAAGCCTAATCGCCTCCTTTCCTAGGCCCTTCTCGGCATACCCGGATATCATAATCGTCCATGTCACCAAATTCTTGACGGGCATTCGGTCGAACAGCGCCTTAGCCATCTCGAGATCGCCTGTTTTCACAAAACCGAAAATGACGGTCGACCAAGAGACAACGTTCCTCGACGGTATTTTCTGAAAGAGCTCGAATGCTTGGGCCATGTCCCCATCCTTCACGTACCCGTCCAGAATCGCATTCCAGCTCACGGCATCTCTTTGGGGCATTTCATCAAACACTTTCCGGGCATCAACTAACTGTCCACCCCTCACCAGCCCAGTGATAATCGAGTTGTAGGAGACTACATCCCTCTCTCCCATCACATCAAAGACTTTCTTGGCGGCCCGAATGCCCTCCGGCCCGCACTTGGAGTAAGCATCGATCATCGAATTCGGCAAGAAGGGGTCCATGTAAAAACCGCATTTCTCCACCAGCGCGTGAATCATCCCCACCGATTTCAGATCAGAGCAAGCCTTCAGAAGAAACTGGTACGTGTGGTTGTCCGGCGGGACCCCCGACAGCTGCATCCGGCAGAAGACCTCGAGGGCCCGGTCGGGCTCGGAGTTTTTTATGTAGGCCTTGATCAGGACGTTGAATTGGAAGGAGCTCGGGTTGGGAATTTGGTCGAACACCTTGACGGCGAGGGCCATACGGCGGCAGAGGGACAGGGCGGAGATGAGCTTCGGGGCCACCAATAGGTTGTCGTGGAGGCTGTGTTTGTATATGAGTGCGTGCATCTGCTTCAGCTGCTTCAGGTCCGTGCAATTGCTGAGGTCAGCGAGCTTCTGCTCGAAGAGACGCCGGCGGGATAGAAACGTCGGGGCCCTAATAGGCGCCGGAATATGCATTTTGGCGGGAGGAAGCTGAGCTATCATGGGAAGTGGAATGTCGGCGGCTGGCTTTGGCCGTGGGGTTTGAAATGAACGGCGGTGGTTTTTAGCGTTGCAGATAAGAGAGTTCCGTTTTCTCGTTTTTGCGATTACATATTTTGGTGAAATTCGATTTTACCCCGTTACTTTTGGTGATTATAATAATGGTCCCCCTGATATAACAAATTTAGGAGAATGTATTTAAAATTTTTAAAGATTCTTTAAAATTTTAAAAATAATGGTGTATTTAGGGAGTTGTATTCAATTTAAATTTTTACACTTTTAAAATTTTGGTGTATTCAATTAAAATTTTTAGAGACTTCTAAAAAATCTACGTGTATTCAATTGAGACTTTTAATAAGTATCTAAAAGTCTCAATGTATTCAATTAAAACTCGAAGCTCACGTCCTTCTGCAACAATTGGCAAAGAGGATGTGCAGTCCTGCTGAATAAAGGACAAGTTATGCAGACAACTTTGTGTGTCATCTATACTGTAAAATCCTCCATGAATACCTCAATGCATTTTTTCAATATAATCAAAAAATATATTCATCATGCACCTCTTGAATGTTGCAGGCGCATTACACACACCGAACGACATGTGACGATATGCATAAGTGTTGAAAGGACAGGTGAAAATACAACTCGGAATCAAAATAATGTGCACTCTTGGTTACGAGTTATGACTGAATTATAGAAAAAGAGAAAAGGTATTCATTTAGGATTTTAAAAGGTCTTACAAAATCATGAAGTATTTTACTTATTTTAGACTAGGAATCGTTAAGACTTTTTAAGATTTGTCGGGTTTTCCAAAGAAAAATACATATACGAAATTTAACATTATAACTCAAAATCCAACTTAAATTTATTCAACTTAACTTTCATATTTTTTTATTTATATAATTAAATAATATTAATCAAGAATTCTTACATATTACATCAATAAAATTTATTATCAATTCACTCACATATTTTGAACTACCCATCATTTTCAATCACATCTCTCATACTTTTACATCAATTCAACTTTAATAATTATATTTGAAATATTACTTAAATACAAACTCAATTTCTCACTCAATCAACTTTATTTGAAAATTAACTCATTTAATCTAATAAATCAAATCAAAACTAAAATAATCACTTCCAATCAACCCCTTAGTTTTGTACTAGGCAAAACATATGCAATCCGATTACTCCAACTAGTCTTGTTCTTGCTTGCATTTAGGTTGGATTCAAGTAGCTCTATGGTGTCACTTGACATCTTTGTACTCACGTTTATCGAGTTTAGAATTATATAAATTGCTATCGTATGTCAAAAATGTACTCGCGTTTATCGAGTTTAGAGTTATATAAATTACTATCGTGTGTCAAAAAGAAAAAAAAATGATTAGAGCTCGACTCGACGCGATTATCAAACAAACTGACTCATATACTTAACAATCTAATTACAGTTCGAAACTTAATAAACTAAGTTGAACTGAAATCACGAGTGACTTGTTGAGTGATATCATTGGACTTTTTTTGTCCCAAAGCAATTAAACAAACAAGGCCTTATGTCACGGTCACCTAACCTTTGGAAGCTTGGATTGCGGAGTGTGCACGCATGACTCATCAAATACTCATTTTTCCATTAAAGATTGATTAGACCACCACTAAACCTTTATTAATTTCCACTAACTAATTATTAGTTTTTGTCAAAAAGAGAGTCCAAAATGAATTCCACATTTCCACTTCAAGAAAAAAGGGTTGATTATGGCTGCCAAACCAACCACACGCATAGAGTGTGTTGTTGTTCTACCTAACACGTCTCAACGACCACTAATCCCTGCGAAAGAAAGAACCTTTCAGCTCACCCACAAAATTTGGTAGATTGTTTCGTCTTTTTGCGTTTTAATTTCCCCAAAATTGTTCTTCAATCGCCTCCCCTTTCTTTTTCCTCATTTGGGTTTTTTCCGGGTTGAATAATGGAGGCCCAGCTTTTGCGAGCCGCCTCTTCGTCATTTCTCGCCCCCCGCAGTCCCGGAATCTCGAGGCCCAGTTGGATTTCCGACCGTCAAACGGGGCATAAGAAGTTCAGCCGCCGTCTCAAGGTTTTCCAGAAGATTTCTGGCGATGGGGTCCCGGCGGCTCGTGCCTCCACGGCCACTATTGGGTACAATACCGACTTCCCTTTCCTCCCCCTTTCCAATTTCAATTCAATTTGAGCTGTTGGGTCTGAGTTTTGTTGGTTCATAAGTGGATCTTTGTTCAGTTAAAACTTCGTCTTCTTCTTTTTCCTGTCGGTGTTGTTCAGTTGTTCTTCTTCTTCTTCCAAGGTCACGATAATGTATGCAATTTTTACGGTTTTGCTTTGTTGGAGGGAAAACATGTTCCCTTTCCTGGTGTCAGACATGATTTCACACAATATTTTATTGAAAAAAAGGGCACTTGCAGTTATTTCAGTCTCTAGAGGACCTTTACCATCATAAATTTCATATAATATAATATATTTATTGGTGATAAAGTATAGATGTTTGTGAAGCACTATAATTAACCTCTTTTGCTATTATGGACATAACTACAGTGCCTTTCTTTTCCTTCATTATTATTGTTGAAATGAGCCTATGCTTCTCTGTTCACCATTGTCTTTGAAGTTGATTATTACAGTAAGTGATTGATCTTGTTAGTTGCATTTCAGAGTCGTGTCGAAAAATCGGGTAGACGAGACCCAGAGCTACACACTTGACGGCATACGAAACTCCTTAATAAGGCAAGAAGATAGCATAATATTCAGTCTAGTTGAAAGGGCTCAATTTTGCTATAATGAGGAGACATATGATCCCAATGCCTTTGCCATGGATGGTTTTCACGGCTCATTAGTCGAGTACATGGTCAAAGAAACCGAGAAGCTACATAGCAAGGTAAGCTTAACTCTACTTTAGATTTATATTCTTTATTAAGAAGATTTTAGTATGCTAAATGCGATTTTATTTGTATAATTGGTGCAGGTTGGAAGATACAACAGCCCGGACGAACATCCTTTCTTCCCGAATGATGTGCACGAGCCTATGCTTCCACCATTGCAATATCCACGGGTAAACAATGGATGCCTAGTTGTCACTTGCCTTATTGTTTTGACAAATATCATTTAGATACAGTATGAGAGAGATGATGTGAAGTGATTGTTACTTCAAATTATGTGAGTTGATGAATAATGAATTAAAGTTGATGTGGTGTATTAGAATAATTGATTTATACTATCTAATTATATTTATAATATTGATGATAGTGGGTTGAGTTAAAGTTGAGATAAATAAAGTGGTTGAATTAAAAATTGTTTGGATTTTTTTTAGAATTTTTTATATCCAAGCATTCTCTAACTACCTCGACACGAAATAAACAGTGTTAGAAGCAGTGTTAGAAGCAATGGTTTGTATTTGTTCATTTTAGACGAGAACTCGTGTTGAGAGAATTTTGCAATTTGCATTTATCGTTTTGTCTAATAATTTTCATTGAATGATATATTGGAACTCTTAATAGGTTCTGCATCCCTCGTCAGACTCGATAAATATAAACTGCCAAGTGTGGGATATGTACTTCAAGAATCTGCTCCCCCGTTTAGTGAAACAAGGGCACGACGGTAATTATGGATCAACTGCAAGTTGCGACACGATTTGCCTGCAGGTATACGTAAAATATATTGTTTAAAACACTTGTTTTTAACTTTTTTCTCGTGATTTGAGCTTTTTCAATGTGTGTTACATTCTATAGGTTCTGTCAAAAAGAATTCACTATGGTAAATTTGTAGCCGAAGCGAAATTCAGAGGCTCGCCAGAGGTCTATAAACCTGCTATCGAAGCACAAGTAAGCTTAGCATTACTATTTTTTTTTTTTTTTCAGAACACATTGTTAAAAAATATGATTTTTTCTCATTTTATATTTTTTATTGTCGATGATAATGCAGGATAGGGCTCAACTAATGGATCTGCTGACATATCCAGAAGTTGAAGAGGCGATAAAAAAACGGGTGGAGATGAAAACTCGAACATATGGGCAAGAAGTAACTGTGGTTGGATGTGGAGAAAACCTGAGTCCAGTTTACAAGATAAACCCGAGCCTTGTTGCCAATCTGTACGGTGACTGGATTATGCCGCTCACGAAGCAAGTTCAAGTCGAGTACTTATTGAGAAGGCTTGATTGATTAAAGATTTAAAGAGATTTGCCTGCATCTGTTTATTATTATTATTATTATTGCTAAAGATTGCTTGTTAAGTGTTCTTGAATCACTGTTATCACAGTTAATTCTCCTGTCTATACATATGTAAGGTATACTTGAAATGTGTTTTATTATGATAATGAGTGAATATATCTTGTTTTGGGATTGAAGGACTTTGAATGTCTTATATGGATGGAGGCTATGTAGTAAACTGTTTTGTAGTTCAAGTTTTTTACTGGTATAACTTTTCAGTTTAGATTATGTGTGATCTTTTTGTTATTATTATTAAAAAAAAATACTACAACAGTATTGATAATGATATAATAATATTCCTCAACAAAATTAAGGTGAATTAATTATACCTCCCCTAAGATTATTTTTCTACATAATTTTTTGGAGTACAGAAAAAGGTTAATACGTGCAAAACCGATAAACCGAATGGCTTGGCAGAGCTGTTGCCTATAAATTATAAATTCATATCATACAAATTATTTTATTTTGCGTTCAAGCTATTAATAAATAAAAATTCTCCTTGAGTCATGCTGAAATACAAATGCAACACAAAATTATATATTGAAATTTATATTGTTTTATATTTGTTCTTGCAAATATTTGATATTAGAAATAAATGAATAGTTAATTATTTCCTTACAAAATAGAATTATTGGAAAATCATATAATTATTTGTTTCAATAAGTAATTGTATTCAAATGATATTTATATTAGACTTGTATTCAGAACTACAAATAAATTATGGTTAAAGAAGATGTAATAAATTATTATTTTTTCTCAATAAAATCAAGCGAAAATAACACTCTGTTCTGTAATCATGTCAGTGTTATTGATTACTTTTAATACATTTGTCATTTGGATCTGTCTTTTTATAATATTTGTACAAATATTAAATATTTTCAAGTTCTCAGTACATAGATACTCCACTAGAAAACATAAAATTTCTTTTCAGAGTATTTGTATCCCATTATAAAGACGCAACTGCTTTATGCTTGTGTGGTTGTGTTTGACAATGTAAATGTAGGTTGGTTGACAAACCATTTTAATAAAAATATAAATTTATATTATCACATATTATAATTTTGCTTATATTGTCTTTAAAAGTATGTCATTTTTGTTAAACCATGATATTATGGGTATCTCATACTCACGTAGCGTAGTTGTTTAATTTGCTTTCGTTTTAAACGTTTTAGTCTTCTTCNTTTTTAATAAAAATACATACAATTAAAAAAAAAATATATCAATCTATTGGTCAGACCAACCGTAGTAAGAAAATTCCTTCGACTTTTTTCCCTGTATATATTAAAACTACTTAAATAATTGTAAATGAAACTATACAAATATGGACTTTTTTTCTTAATTTTTTCTTATCAAAGACCAAGATGCATGTTTGAGCATTGAATCATGAAACTCACTCGTCAATTAATTAAAGAAAACTCAATAATCACGCAATCAATCTTGATAAGAAAAACAACGACAAAGAAAAAAAGGGAATTATTTGACTGCAAAGGTCGCAATTACTTGACTTCCACAATTTAATCAAAATCAAATTAACAATCAATTAATAGGTCTAATATATATTTTTTGAACCTACGTGCGGGGTCTGGCGGTGGGCCCCACGCGCCCGAGCATATTCAACCGCTTTTGTCCCCATTTGGTACCCTTTGTTTTAGTATCTGAGTGCGAGCAAAGTTTTCTAGAGAAAAAAAAAATGTTGGGCCTTAGGCGAACGGTCGGGCTGGCGGCGGCGCTTGTGTTTGCGGCGGCGGTGCTGCAGGAGGCGGCGGCGGTACGATACACTGTGGGCGCCAATGGGCTAGGTGGCTGGACCATTGAAGCCGGGAACTTCTCGAACTGGACTATTGACAAGCACTTCTACAGAGGAGATTGGCTCTGTATGTTGTTATCTGTACTCAGATCTCTCTCTCTCTCTCTCTCTGTGGTTTGTGGGATTTTGCTGTTTCAACAAGATGATATGTTTTATTTCAAATGGTTGCCTGATTTATTGTGATTGTGCTGATTTTTGTGGTTATTGATGTTTTTTAATCTGATGGGTTGAATTAATTTGTTGATTTCTAAAGAAAAAGAGGGAAGAAAAAAACAGAAAAGGGCGACTGCAGTTCTTGGTTAAAAATTCAATCTTTTTTCCTACAAGAACTATCAAGATTGCATTTTTATCCCTTATTGTTTGTTTTGTAGACATGGGCTCAGTTTAATGATATCTGTTGTTGTTCATCTTGCTCTGTTTCCTGTATATCTCAGTATTTTGCTTGCCTGATTTATTCCCAGTTTGATTTGTATTTTCAGTGTAAAGATTTTGTACTCTCCACATTGTAAAAGTTCCTTTTTGATTTCTATTTTCCTGCATAAATATTAAACCATGAGCTCTCATGACAGAGGTTCAATTGCTATGAATTAAATCTTGCTCTGGTTCGAATTTGGAAGTGCTCGTCAACATTTTTTCCGGTTTCAATATGCATTAGTGATTCGAATTACTACTTGTTTGTTAGTTTAATTTCCAAAAGAGCTGTTTTGGTGCCTCTTGTTCGAGTATTATTGACCTTTATATGGGGGATGAAGTTGTGTGATTATTGATTATTTATTCACATTTAGCACTATTCAAAACCCCTCTCGAGTACCGATGAATTTTAGGATTTTAAGCACATAAAACTACAAAAATATGAATTTTAGGATTTTAAGCACATAAAACTACAAAATTGCGGCCTCTTTATCGTTCGGATCAAACTCTTGATCTTGCATTGAATAATCATCTAAACAAAATGAAGTCTTGGACTCTTTTTTTTTTCACTTCTTTCGCAGATTTTGTGTCGAATAGGAACCAATACCAAGTGCTCGAGGTGAACAGCACCACGTACAATACTTGCCGATTTGACCATCCGCTCGGCAACTTTACGGGTGGGGCCGGAAGGGATGTGATGGAACTCAACGAGACTCGGGATTACTATTTTATCAGCAGCGAGTGGCAATGTCTTGGGGGCATGAAACTTATGGTCCATGTGGAGAACCCGCCACCTCCGCCTTCGAGCCCTCCCTCGGGAAGCGGGCCCCACTCGAGCTTCGTCTCGGGTTTTCGGGCCCGGGCTTTGGTTCCGGCCCTTTTGGCGGCCGCTGCTGTTTGGGACTCGTTGCTTCTACTCTTGTAGTTGTAGCCGATGTTTTTAGTCGAACCAATTGTGACAAGGGAAAAACACAAATTGAGTTTCTGTGGTTGAATGATTTTGTTAGTTTTTCTCTCTTTCTTTTTTTTTTAAAAAAAATATTGAGATCAAGATTGGTTGGTTTGTGAGAGGTGGTTCGGGTGAATTCGTATGCGTCGACACCAGATTTTGAGCCGTTAAATCAACACACCCACAAGGGTCGAATCTTTCTTTTGAGTGTGATAGTTCAAATAGTTGTTAATTAGACTGAGTCACTCGTTAGCCATCAAACGAACTGAGCTCGAGCTCATATAAAGCTCGTTCAGTTAACGATCCGAGCTCGGCTCGGCTTAATAATGCTCGAAAATATGATTTTTATGATTTTTTTTTATAGTTCGACTCGATAATATTGATAAACGAGCTGATCTCGAGCTTGATTATAAGCTCACTAAGTTGCTCGAGCTCGAGCACCATGAACTCGGCTCGGCTCGACTAGGCTCGTTTGTACCCATAAGTTCAAGCTTTCTCTATTGAAATCTTGATCTTGATTGGTTTAGTCCTTAGAATTAGAATTAAAATATTGTGGGTCATTTCAAATCTTTAAATGTGGTGTTTTGCCTGGTTTTGTTGTCGGGAGTTTTTGAGTAAAGATGAGATCCCCACATGAAATTTCAAATGATACTGATCACATTCTCCTTTTTCCAATCTCGAAAATGATTCTGTTTGGATTATTAAAAAAGAGTAAAAAAATAAATGTTACTATGATAAATTCTTGAATAATTCTATAATAATATAATTTTGTACATAATGTTTTATCACACACATTAATTGGAGACACTTATATTTTTTAATTAAGTAGACACACATTCTAATCTATTAATTTTGGCTGTCTTACCTGACTTGGACATCAAGTATATGATTAAGATTTGGGTATGATATATATATATAACCTCATTTATATTTCAATGTCATTATACTAAAAATGTCAAAATTTCAAACAAAAAACACATGAAGCCATGAATTATAATAGAGATTAGGAACACACGTTATAGGACCCCACGTAGTTCCTAGCATCTCGCAAGCTGCCCAAAAAC